TCATTCCCATACAACCCCATATACCCACACTCGTTTCTATGCTACAACTTCCCTTCATCCAGTGCAAACTATGTCTTGAGTAATTGCCTGTTGCTAAGTTGAAGTCTGAAGACTGTTTGGGGACTTTGCTGCTTAACAGAAGGGCCTCATAAATGCTTGATCTCGAAGATATCAAAAGCCCCAGCCCACCTGCTTCAGATTTGAGTCCAAACAATGCATGATAAAGTGGGCTTGTGAGCATTGGTGGAAAGTAAATGGAGCACTTTGTGGACTCCAGTTCTCAACTTAAGATGTGTGTACATGCTTGAATAGGAGGATGGAAAAATACCCAATGTGCTCACTTCACATTTCAGCTCAAGTAATGCATAATAAAGTCAGCCTTCCCGTGGATATTGGTGGAGGGTGAACGGTGGACTTTGGCATGTTCGGTGCTTGACAAAACAAACTCAGGGGTGGCTAAATAGGGGATCACAATAAACCCCGGTGCAATCGAAAGAGTTTCAGACCCCATCGATGGTTGACCAAGCCAGGCTGCGACCCGACGGAGATTGGTGGAGGGGGAACGGTGGACATTGGGGGGTTCGGTGCTTAACGAAACAGGATCAGGGGTGCTGGAATAGGGGGTAGCAAGAACCCCCGGACCAATCGCATGAGTTTCAGACCCCATCGATGGTCGACCGAGCCAGGCTGCAACCCGACGGAGATCGGTGGAGGGGGAACGGTGGACTTTGGGGGGTTTGGTGCTTAATGAAACAGGATCGGGGGTGCTGCAATAGGGGGTAGCAAGAACCCCCGAACCAATCGCATGAGTTTCGGACCCCATCGATGCGCGATCTCTGCCTGCCAGGCCCGGCGGCACGAAATTGCCCGCGGGGGGCCGGGGTGCGAGAATGGCGGGTCGGCGCGTGCCAAGGTATGCCTCAGCGTGCGCGTAGGCCCACCCCCAGATAGTCAGTTAAGCGTGCCATCGGTAATTCCCGCGAGCATCGCTAGGCCGGCCCAGCGACCGTTCCATATGGGTAGGCTGCCGATAGCGAGAGCAAAGAGGAGTCCGTCTCCAATATGCTGGGACGCAGGCCAATCAAGGAGGTCAATGAGTGAGCATGGTGCTCCCTTTGCATGCTATGTACTATTACGTCTAGTTCTCAGCTTGTCCGTTCTGCCTTTTGTCTTACATACTTTGTAAATGAATACTTGAGTCAAACTCTCTCTCTTGACTTTTGGCCTTCCTCGCATGAAACAATATAGCCGCAGAGACTCCAAATCGTCCGTGTACGGTTCATATGCACTTACTCCGACGTGTCAGGCTCAATCGTCCCAGGACGGTTGCCTCTTTCACTCAGCCCATTTCGCCTGACCAACCATCTCTGGACGATTGGCCCCTGCTTTTCGCTAGCAATACACATGTTTATGTCCATTTCAATTACGTAATTCTTACCCTAATGTCCTTTGTAGTCTCTCACTACAACCCATTTCCTAGTCACACACTACAAAATACCCAGTACTAAGCCTATGCTAAGCCTAACCTATTAGAATTAGACCTCTATGTATGTATGGGAAGTGCAAGTTGAATTGTACAATGGCAATATGCCATGTATGTTACCAATGCTATCTACATATTACATTGAAATACCAATATCTCTATCCACCCAAACAACTGGAGCCACGAGAAAACAAAACATCCTCATACCCAAGCACCCTCAAAGATGCAGTACTCCACAGAATCAAGACTTGTTCTGGACATCCTGAGCGGGACTCTGCCCCACAGTCACTTCACTATCCAATGCCTTTGGTTCTCGGTGTCCAATGATGCCAGTGCCACGGAGGAATACCAGCGCTAATAAGCATGCTACATTGGGATGAATGATCACAATCAGTGGCACACATTTCCTGTCAGTGATGTACCACTCACCTAGCATTCCAAATGCAAAGCATGTCCATTGAGCACCTTGGTACGCCTTGAGTTGTGCAAGATGAGGCACATTTGCACCACCCTGAACTGGTGTCACACCCATAGCCCGGGACTGCTGAGACGGGACGCGGTCATAGACAATTGTACTGATTGTTAACCCAAAGGCAGTGCCAATCTAAGACAAGGAATGAAATGTTAGAGTCAGAAGAAGGCTATACAGATGGCCACTCGAAAGACATACCTGTGTCATGGTCATGAACAAGGCACCGGCGACACTTTGCTCGTGCGGTAGGGCCACCTTCGCAACAAAGATCGTGCCACAGGCGAACATGAAATCAGTCCCGAAAACCGATAAGATCGCGCCAGGGAAGCCATAAGCCCAGTACGGCGCGCCAGGCCCAACTACTGCGAACAGAAGTGCGGCACAACCCGTCAATGCAGTGCCAAAAACTACCAAGCACATTCAGCCATCAGCTACAATAGCGGGATGACCAAAGGGGTACTTACCGAGCAGCAAAACAACGGGCACACGAGAGATGAGAAGAGCAACGATGACGTTGCAAATGAACCCGGTCACGAACATGGGAATGAAGCGGACCATCGTCAAGACGGGGTTGAGGTGCAAGAAGTCTTGGTAGTACAGCTAGATGGCGCCGACACATCAGCGCGCGACTCGCATTGCCTGGAATTGTGATACTCACCTGTGCCCACAGCTGCCATGTCACGAAGCACCCATAGTTCAGGAATGCGACCCACTGCATGACCGCGAACTTGCCCCGCGCGCGCTTCCATATCGAGAGCCGCATGAGCGGCGGGGGCGTCCACTTCGAATTCGAGGGGTTCGGCGAGTCTTGCACGCGCTCGAGGTAGAGCTGCCAGAACAGGTAGCCAACGGTGAGCACGACACCGATAATGAGCAGCGCAATAATATCTGCAAGACGAAACAGTTCAGTCGACACCCGCCCCCACACGAGAACCTGGAGAATGCCTACATGAAGTCCGCCATCCTTGCGGGGCGATCTCTCCGTCGCTGAGCACGAAGACGATAAGCGTAAGGCCCGCTGTAACGAGTGCAGCCCCGATCCAATCGACTCGTCTGTCCAGCTCGTCCGATGGCTTGTCTGTGTCTATTGATACGATAGCGCCGATTACAACAAGGGCGCTGAGACCCGCGGTGAAGTAAAACGTCGAGCGCCAGGTCTTCCTATGGTCACAGGTGTCATCGCACATTCACAGAAGCATATACGAATGCACGCACTCGGTTACCTGTGTCAGTACACCTCCGACGTTAGAGCCTAGCGCAGCGCCAATAGGTGCTCCTGCGGAGAACGTCGCAAAAGCCCACGAACGCGCTTTTGAAGGCGGGAATGCGTGCGCCAGGATACCGAGCTGCAATCATCAGCGGGGTTAACCTTCGGTCAGAGTGAGTGAAGACACGTACGCCTGCAGGAATAGTGGCGGCAGCACCGATACCCTGGAAGCCTCGTAAAACGTCCAAAGTGATTTCATCTGCATCGATAGCGAGTGAGTCGCATACATCGACGCGAAATGATAGCGCGAGGGTACGTGCCATTCGCAAATGCGCATCCCAGACTGAACGCGACCTGACCCAACGAGCCAAGCACGAATGCTCTTCGCCTTCCGTACAAGTCTGCGAGCCTGCCCAAAAATAAAAGTAAACATCCCTGGAATGGAATCCGCGTTAGCTAAACTTCGAGGGCCCCGACGCGTTCTACGTACCGAGGTTAGGGAATACGCGGAAATAATCCATTGAAGTCGTTCCTCCGGGATATTGAGCTCCTTTCCGATTGTAGGCAGCGCAATCGAGGCTGACGCCGCACATAGAGCCTAGCGGACGCCGTCAGCTGCGAAATGCGACAGAACAGGGAACTACGCACATTGATACCCATAGCCAGCGCGCATGTCCCTACGATAACGCATGATCTCAGGGTACTTCTTCCTGCCACGCCATGGTCGTTCGCGCCCTCCTTTGTCGCTGGTGCAGGTGCACTTGATGTACTGCTCCTTCGTTCCTGAGCGTTGTTTTCAGCCTGAATTCTTGTCTTCTCGTCGTACGCGTTATGAGTTGTTTCGTGAGTCGGCGTCATCGTTCATGCAGGCAGGCGTGAAAGCTCGTCGACGACTTGTCACCGCAGACCACAGCGGAGAAGAGGAGTTATAACAACTGAACAACTGAACGACCATCCATAAGCAACGTTTCATTATCGGACCATTTGCCGTTTGCTGACTTGTGTGGTGCTCGAGTTACGGGATCTTAGATCCGCAAAGCATATTCTTAGTATCGGATCAGGGACCGGGCACTTTCGGAGGCTTAGAATACCCTCTATCATTCGTTCTCGCGTCTTCTTCCGTGTCGTTATAACTCGGTGTCCGCACTCTCTAAAGCCTGTATTTGATACGTTACGTCTGATTCCGTGAAAGGCATACCAGGAGAAGATAAAGTGTCCGTATTTTTCATACTGTTATGCTGTTCTAAGCTCGCTCGGGATGGATGATCATGAGAATATTCATCCCACTGTCGAACCTCAACAAAACGAGCTCGACAAACTAGGCGAGCCCATGAATACATTTTCTTTGCCATCACATCGCAATGATTGGCATGGCAGTTCTGGGAACCAGTATGTGAACAACCGATCCGAATTTGAGCCGATACCTTCGGTACTTACCTTTCGCTGTGAGCTGCGCGCCAGTCAGCAATGACCCCGCTCAACGTGGCGTAACTTAGATCTGAGCATGATTGTGTGAAGCAGGCGCGAGGACGGGCAAGTACCACACCATAGTGTGCGTCGTTAGACAAATAGGTACGGAACGACTGATGATAGGACTTACTGACGCGAAAACACTCAATCGCACCGAGAGACAGCTAGGACCTCTTACGAATCCTGCAACTGAAGGGTGCGAACGTTACTACCGGACAACTACGAGTGACGTACCGCGTGAGCGTGTGCGAGATGCGCCGGCGAGCAACACGCCTTGCAGACGGGTATACAGGAACATAGGGTGAGAGGTTCGAGGCGTATGTCCATCTGTCCGCCGCAAAACATAGCCACAGAGCTGATATTGATGGCTTCAGTTCAAAAGGGATCTGGCCATGGTAATAATAAAAAAATGCTTGCACGCTATGCAGACGATACAGCCAAACGAAGACAGGAGGTTACAGACGGGCGAGACTTGACGATTGACTGGCCTATCCGTGCCGCATAGAGCCAGATTCGCGTCCGGCACTGCTGACACACCGCAGCCATTTATGAGTTAGCAAGCGAAGCTCGACAGGTTTTCACTCGGCGCTGTTAGTAGCGTCGATGGATTGAACAGTCTCGACGAAGCATCGAAGAAGTGCTCACTCGAGAAGTCAATGAGAAGGAGAGATAAACACTGACGCCAACGACTCATCTGCGCCGCCAGCAACTGTTCTATTACTTTGTCAGCGCTCTCGGTACACCCGTATCTAACTTATCCTTAGCCTCGCGACATTATCCATCAGCTCCTCCCACCCACTATCGGGGTCGACACGTATAAATCGGCCGACCTCATCCTCCGAGTGCGCACGGATAAACGTCGCCGACACAGCCAGGTACGTATACTCGTCCACCTTAAAGTGACGCTTAAACAATGACAGCGATCGCTACTTCTAATGTCAGTGGAACACAAAACGCGGATGCCGGTACACGCACCGCATAACCCAGAGACTTCAGCGTCTCTCGTCCGAACGCACAAACATTCCTCGCAGTGGCAAACTCCACGATGATTTGTGGCGGAGCGAGCGTCGCCTGGAGGGATCGGTGGAGGACTGCTACAGCCTCCGAGAGTTCTTCGGACACCGGAGGATACGTCGCAAAAGTAGCGGTCCTGTGGGACGGGTTCGGATTTGCCGCAGGAATCATTCCGGGCTTGAAGAGTGCTATTCTGCGTTGTCTGTCAGCCGTTGAATGCCTGCCCGTCGCATGGTGCTCCCTTTGCTCACCAGAAACGAGCGCCTAGGGAGAGGGTATGCTGATTTGTCGGCTTACCATCGGATGAATATAAGCTCCGGAAGGTGGCTATCTATGGTCTTCATCATGATCTGCTCAGCGAGCGACACGAGCAGCCAGCACAAGCGCCACGAACGACTCGTGGGACAAATAACAAGAACGTACCGAGACGAATGCGGCATCGGACAACACAGACGCGTCATATCCAACCGTAGACATGACAAAAATAGATGGATACCTCCTGCTATTACCCTCGCCTGGCCTCACAGAGGGACGCCCTGTATGGCACCGTTCGAAGTGACTGTATGCTTTACTACAAACACGATATATCATACGGCACCCGTAATAAAGCGCCCAGTCACCTTGTTGTATCCTTTCACGCGTACAGCTAATCAAAACCATATGTTAGGAACGACGAGACAGTCCACCCATTCGCCGGGTTGTAGTCGCCAGGCTGCGTGGTCCCCCTCAAATCCTCATAATGCACCTCCGGCACGCACTGTCCCAGCACGCACCTTGCAACCGCCTGCCCGACCTCCTGGCCCTCCATGTATGCCGCCTGCAAGAACCCAAAGTACTCCGGGCTTGTATGCTCACCCGCAAACCACACGCGGCCCACATTCGCCCTCAAGTTCTGGTGCATCTGCAGTGTCGTCCCAGGCGGCCAATTCGAGTAGCTCCCACGCGCCCACGGCTCCTGCGTCCACCGCGGGTAGTAGAACGCGGTCGGCTCTGGGATGGTTGTGTTCGGGTACATCGTGCGCAGGACGGCCATGACTTCCGCGAGGGTCTGTTCGTCGGACTGCGCTTCGACGCGGTAGCTCTGGTCGTCGACTACGGTGACGAAGAGGATGCCAGAGCCAGGGAGGAAGCCCTCCGCGTCGAGGCTTTGCCACACGGGGTAATAGCCGCGCGTAGTAGGGTCAGCGTACAGCAGGAATTGGTAAGATGTGTCCCAGAACACTTGGTTGGTCGGGAATTGCAGGAAGATTTTCGTATACGTGCCCATGTCAAATGTCGTGATGCCCTGCTGCTTCCAAAGGGGAAGGGGAGGCGTGAAGCTAACGTCGTCGTTCTGGAGTACACCGAGGCTAGAGCCGCACAAGTAAGTGCGTTGCATGGGAGAAAGGGAATAGGAGGGCATACGAAAAGGTACAGATCGCGTAGTCCGCAGTGATGCAGCTCCCGTCGGCGTTATCGATCCTTACTTTACTGTCGTTGTATGCGATGTTGGTAACGACGGTGTTCAGTAGCAGCCGTGAGTCGTTCGGAGTCAGATATGTCGACGCCTCTCCCTTAATGAATATATTGAATCCGCGTTGGTCGAAAACATAGTTATTTCCGTCTGAGAATTGGTAGAACGTCGTGTTCTAGGTACAAGGGTGAGTCGTGTAAGTATTGCGGCACAGAGATCTCGCCGCTTACGTAGTTCACTATTGCGAATTCCTGTGAGCTCTGATCCTGTACAATATATTAGTTGCCGCCCTGTGCTACAAGTCAGACGCAGGACTCACAGGGCTGAAGGCATACTCCCAATCAAACTCCCACCACTCCACCGCCTGCTTCGCTGCATCGTGCATGGGCTTCCAACCACCCAGACTTAACCCGCTTCGAAAGCTGCGGTCCTGCAGGCCCTCTGTCAAGATGTACCCCGCGTCCTGCTCCACGTATGCATACGCGTCTTCGAACTCGTCGAGTAGCTCGGTAAAGTTGGTGGCGCCCGTGGTGGAGAAAGTTTCGATTGAGGAGTAGTCGGAGTAGGTGTTTGTGAGGTTGTAGCGCTGAGCCTAGAAGGTCAAGCATCCCCAGCTCAGACGGACGACCGATCCAGCGTGATAAGCATAGACGCATACCAAAATCCAGATGGGATTCTGAGGACCCCCGGGCGTCCCCAGTCCCTGCACCCAGTTTGCGCCTAACTCGATCGTGTATGGATTGCCCTCCGCATTCTTCCCAAACGTCGTGTGCTTGACGCGGCCGCCTATCTCATCGTTGTACTCCAGTATCAGAAAGTCCTTAATATTCGCCTCAGACAATGATTTCTACGCGCACAGTGAGACGTCGCCAGCTGAAACTACAGGAAAGACCACGTACCGCAGCCTCTATCCCTGTCAACCCCGCCCCTAGCACCGCGACCTTCGTCTCCCGGCACGCTTGTGCGCTCACCGCCACAACCGCCGCAGACAAAAGCAGTAGCGCGACCGTTGGTCCTCCCATGTTCCTCGGAAGCAACGGGCATTCTCAGCCCTCCCATGCTCGCTCTTTGTACGCCTTGGGCATATGGCGGTCCTATTCATGGAGTTATACTTGTGATTGCCGAGAGTACAGCTGCCGTTCCATGATCTTATCTTGCACAGAACCGAGATACAGCGGCCAATCCATTGAGTCTGTCGCTGTCAAGAGTCGATTCTGACCCTTTCGTGGCGGCCTCTCGTAACGCCAGGTTCTCATGAGTGAAGGGAGAGCGTGTCCGTGAACCGGCCATCGCTGACAGAACTTATCTTTAAGAGAACATGGCCAAGGTATCCCGAGCTTCTTTCAGCACTTCAGCTTCACATGGGTTTCAATAGCGTTCCATTCCTAAGGTAACTCTAACAAGCTCGCAGTATGGACTGAAGTGGATAAATTCAAACAAACTGTAAACAACTGACGGTACGATTACTTTCAGTCATTAAAACGACCGGTAAATACAGTTCTGTGTGAAGGTGAATTACTCCGTCAGGGCACTATGCTAGTCGGTAGAGTCCTCTGTCAAGAATATGATCATTCACTAATATGAATGTCCGGCATCGTATCATTTATATCTTCCAGCTTTTCTTGATGAAATCTGCGGCCCGTTCCGCGAAGATATACACCGGGGCCTGCGTATGCGCATTCGGCACAATAGGCTGTATCCCACAGGGTTAAGACCACGTCCAAATTGACAGAACGAAACCACTCACAATGACACTGGCATCAACGACCCTGAGGCCCTGCGCGCCCTTGATCTTCAAGTCCGGGTCCACAACACCCCACTCGGCGCCCTTGGGCGACATGCACGCGGTACCCACCGCGTGCCACACCGAGTTGCCCGTGCTCCTGGCGTACTCGGCAATCTCGTCGTCCGTGGTAGCATTCGCCCACGCCTCGTACGGGCCCGTGATATAGCCCTTGAAGGCCGATGCGGTGGCAAAGCGCCGCGCAGCCTTGATGGCCGAGACGACGACGTAGGTGTCGAAGGGGTGTGCGAGGAGGGCGGGGTCGATGAGCGGCTGCGTGAAGGGGTCAGTGGAGTTCAGCGTGACGGAGCCGCGCGCGATGGGGGAGATGACGTTAGAGAAGATGGTCATGTAGTTCCCGGTCGAGGGCGAGGCCGAGCCCGGCATCGCAAATCCATTCTACCAGATCCCATCTTGGTATCAGCAACCTTTCGTCTACAGCACAGACACAAGCAGAATGAAGTCAAACTCACCGCGAAAATCAACTCATAATGGCTCGAATGCGGGCCCGCGCTCGGATCGGGGTACGTCTCAAAAATCGGGTCGTTCTCAGGGAGCCTGAGCCACCCGAGCAACGTCGTCAAGCCATCCACAAGCGGACCCTCGTGCGGGTAGCTTGAGTTCCACGCCTGGATATCCGCCGCGAGACGGGTCGAGTTCTCGAAGATGCTGTCGGAGGTCTGCGTGCCGGACACGACGAAGGGGTTCGCAACGAGCGGGTGGTCGGACATGTTCTGCCCAACGGAGGGGAGGTCGAGGAGCGTGGGGATACCGAGGGACGCGAGGGCAGTTTTGTTGCCGATACCTAGTAAACAGAGTCATAAATCGCTTCCTTGACTTTGAGTGAACGCGGCTCACCAGAGAGCATGAGGAGCTGGGGGGTGTTGAATGACCCGGCCGAGAGGACAATTTCCTTCTTGGCGGTGACGTTGTACCTCGCTGCAAGCCAAACATACATCAGCATCCCGTGAAACGGCTTGCTTTCGACGAGTTCCAACATACTCTGACGGTTCTCAGCAAACTCCACGGTGTTGAATGCAATCTGCTTCCCAGACTTCGCGTTGGCGTCCGGGAATACTTGCGTAGCGTGCGCGTGCAGCAGTACGTGCAGATTCGGGCGGTGGATGAACGAGTCCCCAAGGTAAGACGTCGCGGCGCTGCTACGCGCGCCGTTTAAGATAGTTTCTTGCGTCCAGCCTACAAATCATAAGCACTTATCCTCCGCAGCCCGTCGACACGCTAAGGCACGTACCGATCCCCACAACATCCCCCGCATTCATATCCAAATTGAACGGGAACTCATCCCCGAACTCCTGCGTGGCATTGACGACCAGGTGGTCAATTGCTGTCGGGTACCCAGGGAGCGTGACGGCGTTGATCCCCGAATAGCCGTGAGCGGAGGGGAGGAACTGGCCGGTGGTGTTGTGCCCGTCCGCGGGTGGCGTGAAGCGTTCGTTCTGTTTGGGTTCGGTCGTGAGTGAGTGTGTGTGAGTGCGAGGTGCCGGAGGAAGGGGAGCAGGCCAGCGAAGAAGAGAAAGACTTACACGTTTTATGTACGGCTGCAGCGCGTCCCATGACCAGCCCTCGTCCCCCGAGATTGCAGCATAGCGGTCATAGTCGTCTCTCGACCCACGGGTGTACGTCAGGTAATCTACATATCACGGTCACCTCTTTCCAGGACAGGCTATACAACATTGATACGCACTGGTCGAGCTGCTCCCGCCCAGGACGAACCCGCGCGGGTACGCCGGGGTGCGCCCATCGAGCCCCGGTTGGGGCACGACGGTGTAGTTCCAGTCATACGCGGTCTGGGGGGACGCGAAGGGTGCGAGGAGGGGGACCTCTATGTTCGTCGCGCCTTGGTTCCTGCGTTATAGTGAGTCCCGAACTGCAATGGACGCAAGTATGGGACGAAGACGTACGAGACGCCTGCCTCGAGCACCAGCACCGAGATAGAGGGGTTTTCGGTGAGGCGGTTGGCGATCACGGCGCCACCAGTTCCACCTAACCAAGGTTCGAACAAAAATCAGAGTCGATTACGAGTTGTAAGATAGCGGGATCAAGGCGTACCTCCGACGACGACGAAGTCATACGCGAACCCGGGGAGCTGCGATACGCTCTCGTAGAGCGCGGCGGAGCAGGCCGACGCTAGGAGGATGGGCGCTGAGAGCTTCGAATACATCCTAGGGGACCGTAAGAGCCACCGACAGACTGGCGAGGCGAGAGTGGTCCGCCCATCGCGCTTTTATACGTCGCATCATGACAGTGCAAGTCGATTCACGAGATCGGACGCGCGTATGGCGTCTGGAACAAGAGACTAGTACGCATTGATGTCCGATACGTTTCCCGTGTCTGCTGGCCCAATATTGCGCTGTATTCCCCGATGCGATGACCAGGGCGCTCGCAGTACGGGCCCGGGTGGGTTTGACTGCGTTTCTCAGAGCCGGACCGTGTCACTCGATGGCGGGGAGATGCTGATCCCGCCGTTTCGAATGGCATGCATTTTGCGATATCAGTGCTAGGAGTCCAGAGACGCCGAATGCGTGACCGAAAGAGGAGAGTTGGGCGTCAGGTATGGAGGATTAAGTGTGGCAGATCGTATGCTGGGCGCTGTGGACATCGCAGGGATGGTACAGAGATTCGCATGTGCAGTAACCTTCTAGAAGTTAATCTTGAGAATGCGGAAGCAAAGTTTGCTTATTTTTTTGTTTACCATCATCGTCAACGTTCGGCTCGCACGAAGTGTCGATGTCAAGTCGACGTCCAACAGTTCAAGTCGAAGTTGAAGAGGGAATTGCACTGCCACTCGCATTTAGCGCCCAATTAGAAGCTGTCGACCTTCTCAAATACGCGAACCCTGGAATCCTGTCCGTAACATCCGTTCTCCAATTCGCACATGTATTATTATTTTCTTCGACGGACAAAAACATCAGCGCTGAACTTGAAGCACGGGAAGTGTCCCTCCAAGTGATGTTACAGTCAGCAAGTTACCGACTTCACCGCGAACGCCACTATCGTTAGGGTTGATACTGCGTCTCCTGAAGGACTCTTTGCTATACTCTACGTCCACAATACGCGTCCGCGGGGATATTTCGACATCTAACAACGAACAGAATTCGTTCAGCCACCATCGATTGGCCTCGGCTTCGTCTTGGCAACCTGGGGGCCATCTTCCAGTCATGAAATGTTCCCGGATTCCCGGAAGCATGGTCGACGTCCTCTTCAGCAATCAAGCAGCAAGTACGTACCCCGCATCTGATGAGGCAATCTATCGCTTGTTTTCCGTATGATGCATCTTCGACTGTCGATCCTGGACGTCATACAGAGCTTATGCCGCCATTACCGTCTCCCTGACTGACGGCTTCCCTCTCATGTACCCTCAAGTTTCACCGCGTGACACGACGGAACCTCCCATTTTCGAGCTGATTCGACTCGCACGGCAAGTTTCCTGCTCAGATTGGCTTGCGACCCACCGCCACCGCCGACCCGGACGTCATCAAATCATTCCGTTTCTGCGACGCGCAGTTTGACTGTTTGGCTGTTCGTTCCTAGTCTCTCCCTAGTACCGCTGTCTCATGATCACCGGAAGGGTTGCTCTCGTCTCTCAGCTGGACTGACGCTTGCACCACCAGGAAGTCCGGGTGCCTCAACTAGACTCGACTCAGCACACAGCGCAGACTTGGATATCTGTTCGGTGACCTGGTCCTTATACGTCTCCGTGATCCATCTGCTGCTCTGAGTCTCAAACTCATGTCCATCAATATATCTACAGCCGTGCTGACGACGGACAGAACTGCCCCGTGTGTGCTGAAATACAGATCGGTGTTCTTTGGGGGCAAGCTCGGACAACTGACTAACCCTAACCCGAACAGAGCGAACCCTCTCCCCTCAAGCCTCAACCTGCTGTCTTCTATCCGGCTGTCCGGGATTCAAACCAAACGCAATTTAACCGACTCGGGGTCCGTGCCGAGTATCATGCCACACGGTTTGGCATTCTCGTGAAGTCCCTCCCAAAGACATTGGAAGGCCTGCGTCCCGCCGCCATCGAGCGACTTCGGCTTTCATCCTCGAGTATGTACAGCATCCTGACGACAAAAGCAGCAGCCGTATACTGGTGTCCGTCCCGCACTTAGGAGACGGACTATGGATCACTCCTATTGGTGCTCCTAAAATCTCTATCTCTTGGTGCCGACGTTTCCGCAGCAGCAAGTCGGCGCACCGAGCGTCAATGCTTACATATCGCGTATGGCGTCTCCTCCTTTCTCTAATGGATACGGAGGTACTATCCGTCCCCGGTCCTTCATCCGGATGTATCATTTCATCCAGAGGCGTCGTCTCAGCAATTGATGCGTCCGGCGGACGATCAACGGCCACAGCGAGCTTCAGGCGCACAAATGGACGGGTGCATACTCTTGGCAGAACCGTGACAGAGCTGTCTCACCAAACGACAGGAGGGCATTCGTGATCACGTACTCGCCCATTACCATCTGCACAAAACGTGGGCTAGTCCTCGCCTTGTTCTCCCAGAAACGGGACCACTCCCTGTTCTTCCCTCCCTCAGCCCGTCGCGAAATGCCCGCTCCTGTATCATGATGAAGGTGTCATCTCAGCTCCGAGCCTCCGAACTTTCGTCTCGGCGCCACTTGGATATGTATTGTGCACCGCCCGAACTTGTAAGTTCGCATCTCCTCAACAACTGACGCTGGTCCCTCAATCTGATTCTTGCTGCGTAACCCGGAGACGAACCGACACCTAATGGGTACGAAAGACAGAGTCGTGTACTGGTAGCGCGCAGTGCGTCGGAGAGGTGCTCCTCGTGACATCTCTTTCCTGCCCATGTCTGCTGGCAGAGCAACTGGGCGCCTCGTCCCCGCGAGATGATGGTCTCGTGCTCTTCGTCGACGCCGGTACGTGCTACCACCTGGAACGAAATGAAGCAATCCTTGCCACCTACCGTGAGCAGTGCTTTTATGTATCCGGCACGGCGCACCGACCTCTCGGGTGTATCAAGCACGAAAATCGGAACGCGGGACATTCAGATGCAAATGACGAGTGGGGGTGTTATGTGATGCAGTACAATGAAAACAGCGAATGCGATTAAGTAAATAGATGATAATGCAGTGGAATAGATGCCTAATTTTGCCACGCCCGACACCACGAACGCACACACCCCTTACTCCTGGATCTTCGCAAGGATCTCATTGTCCTTGAAGAGGTAGTACTCCTGCAGCCGTAAACACACGCAATGAGATCCAGCACAAGACGACTCCAGCAGAGCGGCGTTACTCACCTCCTCGCCGACCTTGATCGCGTTACCACCCCAGCTCGGCAAGAGCACCCGGTCGCCCGCCTTCACGTTGCACGGCACAACCTTGCCCTCCTTCGTCGGCGCGCCGGGACCAGTCGCGATGACCGTGCCCTCGTTCAACGGGCTGTTCGTCACGGAGCTGGGCAGGAAGATGCCAGTCGCAGTTTTCTGCAGCGCGCATATGGCTCAGTCAGTCTCGGTGCGAGGTGGATAATGGAAACGAGACTCACGGTTTCCGGCTTGAACCGCTGAACCAAGACGCGGTCGAGCAAGGGAACCAAGGACTTGATGGACTTGAAGGTCGCCTGGGCAGCCTATACGCCAGTCAATCTGCACTCTGTATTCCCGTAACGACCAGTGAACATACCATTGCAGTGAACAGCGGCAGTGAACGTGAACGGACTGGGATAAAGTCGGAGAGAGCAGCTCGCTGACTTGTCACCGAAATTTCACTCGTATTTGGCCCACGCAGAAAGACACGGTCACGTGGAGGCACGTAGAACATCATAGAATGTACGCGTACTCTGCTTGGACGATGTGGCTAACGACGAGGACTAGCTAGGGATATCGGAGTGCTTGCAGCGAGGACTAATAGTAATACTCAGGTAATGGGGTAATACAGTCAGAGATGTGTACAGTAGAAGCGGGGGAATACGAGGAGAGGAGAGGGACAGCGGGAAACGCAGCGTCCAGGAATGCAAGCACCTCAGCCGAGAACCATATCATCGTCCACCGACACGATCGCCGTCGTGTCCTCCATCATCGCCGCGTCCTCCACCTCCTCATCGCGCACCGGTGACGGCGACCCAACAGCCAGATGTCGCGGTGGCAGCGGCGGCGGCTGCAGACGCACACCGTCCCCAATCGTCCCCACCGTCTCCGCCCGTCTTCGCATGAACACAGGCGAGTCCACGATCTGGTCAGGAGGCGGGGGATTGGGTGCCCGCGGCCTCAGCCTCCTTGTCAAGTCATAGTTCACATTCCACGGCGGCCTCACATGCGGCGTGTGCTCCGGCGTCGGCACATGCACCGGATCCTGCGCGTTCGGCGCTGCTGGATCGTCCGCAGCGTTCGGGTTTGGCGCGGTGTGCGTCGTCGCCGTCGAGCGGAACGCATTGTGCACCGCCCTGGTCACCTGCGTTGTGTCAATCCCCAACCGCGCCTGCCTCTCGCGCTCGCGTTCAGCCCTGCGCTCAGCCCTGCCCGTCACCGTCCCGCCACTAGTCGTTACGTCCCCTGCAAGGGTCGAGCTCCCGCGCGAATGCTCCGGGTTCTCTGCATCCTCGTCCCCGTCCTTCGCGCTGCACCAGAACCGGTGGCCCTCGCTCCACGCCGTGCTCTGGCACTCCTTCCCGCAGTACTTGGCCTTCCTACATCGCCTGCATTTCGCAAACTCGCGCGGATACGACTCCCACTTGCCACACAGCACTGTCAAACCACGGCGTCAGCACACGTCCCAAGAGAACAGGTCACAGCACTCACTATTCGCACACTGCCGGATCCCACCCCGACTATCGTCCTTCCGACACGCATTGCGCATAATCGCGCCCGCCCAGTACTGTATCTCATGCGGCAGCGGCGGCGGCGCGTTCGGCATATCTGCCTCGCTCGAGCTCGGGCGGAATGTGAAGCGCTCCACGAGCGAGAACACATTGGTATGGCGTACAGGAGCCGGCGCCGGCGTCGCGTCCACCGCTTTCTCCTTCTCTTTCTCCTTTCCCCGCCCGAGAGACTTGAAGAACCCGTACGACTCTTTGGATGAGGGCGTGTTGTTGGTGTTGAGGGCGCGTGAGCCGAGCGTCGACGGACCCGCGCCGTTGGTGGATGTTGATGATGATGATGGGGTCGCAGCAGCGGATGTGGTAGCCTGAGATTGCGAGCGCAGAGCAGCAGTCGCGGGATGGAAGGATGTGCGGGGTTTGTAAAACGCTTGACGAACATGCGGGTATTTGCTGAGGTACGCAAGCAGCTGCAGACTCAGCAAGACATCTTCGTCCCTGTACGGCCCCGTCTCTACATTTTCCCGTGCATGGTGGTGGTGATGGTGATGATGGTGGTGGTGGTTATTCGCAGTCGTAGCATTGGCAGTGGCAGCAGCGGGGGCAGCAGCAGCCCCCTCATTTTGCGCCGCTATCCTCAGCCCCGGGGTCCGAGACGGCCCAACATTTCTTGTCCTCCCTTCGGCCCCGGGTGTCCTGCCCCCAGCAGGCGTTGGCGTGTTGAACGGTGGCATCGCACCCGGTAGCGTCGTCGTCCCTGCGCGTGGCGTCACATCCGGCGCAGGCAGCGTCCTATCCCCACCCAAGTCCGCTGGGCGCACAGTCGGCGCGTCCTCAATGGCACCCGGCGCCCCCGGCGGCGCGCCCATCGCAAAGTCGTCGTTCGGCTCGAGCGAGACAATCCCGTCCTCGACGCCCGCGTCCATCGGGCCCGGCACATCATTGATCACAATATGCGGCTCCGTATTCATCTCCATCGAAGGCCCAGCAGGATTCGTAGGCGGCGCATCCGAAACGATTCCCACCGCCCGTCGTGGCGTCGTAAAGTTGCGCATCTGCGGCGCGCGCGGCCGCGGCGACGGGCTCGTCTCGCTGTCCTGCGCGACGCTCGTGTCCATGTCGACGTCGCCGTCGTCCTCCGTCTCCGTCTCCGGGCGCGAGTTGTCCGTCGAGTTCGACGCGGACGCGTCGCCGCCCTGCCGGCGGTTGCGTCCGCGGAGGACTTCGCCTGCGGGGTCCCATGCTGGCCGGGCGATGATGGTGCCGCTGCGCTCGCGGACGGGGATGACGACGGCGCCGGTGGGCGTGCCCGATCCGACGGGGGTTGTTGCGGTCGAGTTGTCGGTGGATGTCTCCGCGTCCGACGTAGCAGACGAAGGCTCGGACCGTTGCGTGCGAGTGAACGTCGAGTCTGAGGGTATAACAATCGCAGCGCTATCCCTGCGTTCCGGCGCGCCCGTGTCCGCCATATGGACGTCCTGCTACTGAGGCTGAGCCATATCCCAGAGAATGATCGACAGCGATCGACGTACCTCCGAACCAAAGACCTCGCCCGTAGCCGCCCTCTCCGCGCGAATAACGTGCTCGAGCTGCGCCTGCCGCTGCAGCGCGCGCGTGAGCTCCTGCGCCTGGTCCCGCTGCCTGCTCTCCAGCGCCGCCGCGCGCCTCGCCGCGCGCTGCTCCCTGCTCTCCCTCGGCAACCCCGTGGCGCTACTGCTCGGCCCAACCGCAAATCCCTTACTCACAAGCCACGCCTCCAGGATCATCCCCACCACATCCAGCGTGCCGGCTTGCACTACACGCGAGCGGATATGCTCGCTCCCACGCACGCCGATATTGACGAGGCACTGGAAGGCGAGCGAGAAGCGGTACGCGGCGTGCTTGTCCCACTGCGCGGGGTTGAGCGTGGGCGGGAGCTTCGGCGGGTGCGCGGCGGGCGGCGCGAGCCCGTAGATCAGCTGCGGGTTCTCGGGCGGCGGCGGGCAGATGCAGAAGTCGTGGAGGATGCGGACGAGGCGCTCGAGCCCGCCGTCCATGGTCATGATCTCGCGGATGCGCGGCGAGGTCGAGGTGAGGTAGACGAGGTGCGTGAGCGAGTTGAAGAGTGGCAGCGGCGACTCGGTGTCGAGCGCTACGGGCCGCGGCATCAGGCGGCGGATGATTACAAGTATTTACTGCTTGTACTCACCTCTTCTGTCATATAATTGCGATGAAATGCATACGCAGGCCCTGTTCTGGGCGGGAAACGCAAAGTTGGACTCCCTCATCAGAGATTAGTCTCTCGCGAACGAGTCTCAGTCGTAACGAGCGGTGCAGGTCGATATACAGTGTCGCCAGCAGGCAGAAAGCGCAGATGCAGAGTCCCAAAGAATAGTCTAAGCTCGCTGGCCGGTAGAAACAGAGAGTAGCGGTGTGGCGGCGGCGGCGATGTCGTTGCACACGATGATCAACAAGCACAGATGACTGGCCCACTCGCCCTCTCGCTATTTGACCCTGTTTGGGCCCGCTCGCGGATGACTAAGCTGCCTCTTCAGGCGCGTGCGGCACGCGGCCCGGCTCCCCGCGGGCCACTTGCCACACGGCTATTTGTCTCTTTATGGTGGCCCTTGTATTTCCACCAGCTTGTCATTGTGAAACATAGGCCGTTATTTCCTCTATTCGCTGCGGACCTCGCGATTTTCACCGTCGGCGATGATGTGGACAGTCGGCTTTCACACCCAAGTCATGGTTATCGCCGACAACTCTGCTCTACAGCGCGTTGATTGTTCAATTGTCCACGTACAAGCAGTTATCTTTCTTTATGCACAGCCTTGCTTGTGTAGGATACTCAGCGCTGCGCAGTCGTTTGAGGCTAGCTTCCAGTTCAAGAAACGGATGAAGAAAAGGCTTATTGATACACGAACGCTTGAGACTTCTCGTTCTTCTAACCTTCCAGGTTCTTATGCTCCCTGATCATTCTCCAACGTCGCGCCGCTCTCATACTCCTTCACATCCCTCGCACCCCTATACTTCCCCGCCAACGCCTCCTCGGCCTCCCTCCGACTATCCAAACTGCTCGCGCCGTACGGATCCAACCCTTGGCCACCGTGCTCTCCCTCGTACTCCCTCCGACTACCCCTATCCGTCCCCTGCTGTGCGTCCTGTGCTTGATTCGTTGGCCCGCCGGGAACGGACTGGTTTACGAGCCCGAAGGAGGGCGCTTTCTCGGGGTGGCCGCGCTGCGCGGCGGGGGAGTAGGGGTCGCGCGCGGAGCCGTAGCCGCCTTCGGATGTTGCTTGGTGTGATAAGTTTCGCGGTCAGTCAATGAGGCGAAGAACTACGCGATACGGAACTCACAGTCATCTGCGGAGCTCGAAGGATAGTTTCCCGTGCCGCGTTCCACCGATTGTGGGTACTTCTCTCGTGGATCCTCAGCTAGAGGGAATAGGCACGTACGCTCAGCCAGCTCAAACGATCTAGCCACCACCTCAGGCGGAACGTTCACTCACAATTGTTAACCAAAGAACCCTTGTACCCCGTGCTAGCGTATTCGTCGCTCATCTCGGCAAGCTCGTCCAGTCCCAGTCGTATAAGATACGTTTAGCAGAGAACACAGGAATAAAACGCGTCCAAAATTTGATTGATGCAGTACCCCGCGCTCTCGCTGCCACACTTATACAAAGGCCAGCCTGACGTCATTAGAGCGACGTCATACTCCATACACGGCAAGGCGACTGCCTCGTTTGGAGCAACCCCGCACTACGCGATTGTGGCATACGCGGACCCTATCATATGGTTTACTGTCGGCAAGTTGTTCGCGCCAGTTGCTTGCCACAGTCAAGCCACATACCCTGGAGTGCAGCCGCAATTCACGAGGAGGGCGGCATGGGAGCATCATCGCTAGGGCCACTTGGCAGGCCTGGCAGACGCCAATAGCATCCTGTGAGCAGTATCAACGCGCAGGAAAACATATACATTAACAGGACACTCAGGTAACCAAAGAAATCCGATAGCGCGAGCATGCCTTGACTCCCCGCTGTGCAGAGGTCCTCGTCGAGCGCTTCTGCCTTCAAGGCGCTTATTTGGGCGGTAAGGTGCTGTATACGCCAGCTAATTTTAGTAGACTACTTACTGTGTACGTAACGCAACTTGCACTTTGCAACTGTACGTGAGTACGCACGACGATACCTTCTGTGACTGCTTAAGCAGTGTTTCCTCTGCTCCCGATGAGCACTGTGCATCCAAGTCCCCCTACGGCGGCAGAAGTCGCGAGTCTTGCGGAAGCGCTCTCCGTCCTCGAGCGCCTCCACAAAGGCGCATTCAAGCCCCCACCCACTGTCCTCGCGTGTGTGTTGGAAGGGGGCGAGACATGCCGCGAAACGACATTTGCATACGGGAGAGAACAGTTGAAGGCTCTTGGGTATGAGGTCCGTACTGCTGATTATCAACCTTGCAATCCCGCCTGATCTCTCGTCTCTCCACCGGCACTGGCAGAAAGCCTTTCAATTGATAAAGAAAGACTTTCTATACGACACAATCAGGGAGGACGTCCCGTGCTTCCTCGAAGCGACCCTGTTAGACAAAAACACCGGCATGGAAGTCACCAAGTTCACATACACCGGCACTCCAGTACCCGAGTATGTTCAAATTAATCCGGAAGGCTGGGAGGATGTGCTGGACGATGTGGCACGGCTCAGGCTATGGGTTGGCAATCCGCCGCAGTCCATGCGGGGCCACGAACAACCGGTGGTCCTCGCCGTGCTCATTGCAGTCGGGATCACATTTTACATAGTCCTAGCGTGGCTGCTTCTGGCTTTCCTTAAGCGGCTGCCGCTGGGTAGCATGGTTACGAGTCCTGAGGTACGAAGGTCGAGTCCTTACGCGCAAAATATGCCTGCGTGCCGAATGTTGTACCCCGTGAAAACTGCTTATGCCGAGAAGTCGTGGGAGTTATGTTTTGTATTGCAGACTACATTATTGGAACTCCAATTGGAAGTCTGGTTGTATGTGACAAGAGGGGTGCAAAACCAGAATTTTGGACACCGACCTCCAACTTTCCAGGACCCCCGGAAAGGGGGTAGGGGGGAGTCCCCCTTCCGTGTATGGACGAGCCAGACAGCGGCAGAAGCGCAATCGGACCTCATTTGGACAGTGACGATAAAATTAGAGACCCATCTTTGCCCGCAGTGTCACGTGACTTTCTGGCAAGCACGAGGTCTGACATTCGTCCCAGACGGCGCGTACTTGCAGATATTCAGAAGGCATTAAATCATGACATAGACTAAATGATGAAATTTCTAATATCGTACTACATGCGTGCAAGCGTTTATTAGAGCAATATGGGACTTGATTCGGCGACTGTGCAAGGATTAACGGGAAACTGAGCAAAGTGTGTGTACTAGGACCCCGAACATCAATACTGACCCAGTGCAAAGGTAGGTCCGTGTTCCCGATTTGGATCTTGTACCCCTCTTGGTATGTGAGACTACAAAACTACTTTTGTCGCATTTTTGTAGTCTCTGGGACCATTGTTTGCTTATTTGCGGGCTCAATTCTTCGTCTTATCTCTCTTTTATTTTCTCTAGTCTGGGGCGTATGCTATACGGGTCTACAACAATATTGTCGTGAATTTATCGATTGTGTGTCTTGTCTTAGTCGGCATGGCGGTTTTACTTTTATTGCTTATCGTGGGAACTAACTATTGTAGTGGCTTGTAGTCAGTGGCTGAGGTGCGGGCGCATCGGTTTAGATTCCTGGACTCTGATTGGCTCCTGCCTTCTATGACATAGGCTCTCTGCAGGTTCACCCGATCTGCAGAGCCATTACATCATTGGTATCTGGAATAAGGCTGGTAGCGCCGCCCTCCGGGTGGCAAGGCCCGCTACCTTGGGTGGGGGATCGGGAATAGATGTTGTAGGGCGTATTTGTTACTGAAGCTTGCATGTATTGGGTTTTTTCCTTCACAGATTTATTGCTGTTTGACTGTTAATGGTGTCTCTATGCGCCTACTACTGACATGGCATGAGAAGGCGATCCGAGAAGACAAGCATCAGTCTCGCTGACCGTCCCAACACAAGTGAGTCACATTATCATGTCACAGATGTCATGCCATATATGTTACGGATGGGATTCTTAGCTCCAGAAGCACCTCGTGGCATCGCAGAAGACTTGTATACGGTGCCTCATGTACTCAGAAGGACCGTCCCGTTGCTGAACAGGATAATACCAGCTACTGTATGACGGTGTGACAATGTCACTATTGGACTGTTGGATGTTTCCGGCGGCCACCGAAGTCAAGTCTTGGTTGTTGTCGGGGTGACAATGAGGACGGTGCGAGAACATTATCTGTGCAGTGTGCCGACAATGTTCCTTCCCCGTAATATGGATGTCTTCCTGCAGAGAAGACATCAGATGGTGTATTCGTGTAGAACAAGTCTGGTGACACGGACTTGACTGTTCCACGAGCATATCTCAGATGGCAATTTAATTTTTAATCTCAAGTATCTACAAGAAAAGTAATTATTTCGTAGTAGTACGCCTTGTTTTCTTCACTGGAGAAGATGCGGGAGATGGTGTTGGGCTCATGAATTCGTTGAATGATCTTTTTGATTGAGCTGAAGCCGTCATGGGTGTGGCAGCATCCGGCTTCGGTTTCAGATTTCCAGGAGCCGGGATCTCTGCGGGAGCATCAGAGGGATCAACGACCTTGATCTTGTGCGCGACAACTTGATAGGTCTGCAGAACAATGTTCGTCATTATCGACATGATTTTGTCTCCAAAGACAATTACCTTTGATATTTCCTTGCCCTTTTTGAACACCCAGACCACTAGTTCAACGTTCGCGACAATAAGCGTACCAGGCCGAAGCTTGTCGTGCAGCAGCCACAGTGGGATAAGCTTGCCGTTGACGTCCACAATGTCGGGCTGAGTCACTCTTGCAGTCTTGAGCTGATAGAGCGGTCCGCTGTAGTCCGGAAGAAGCCTGGGGTTGTATGTCGCTCCGAGCTTTATATCCTTTTCTTTGGGTCCCTCAGCAGCCATACGTCAGATATTGTAGCATTGCAACTTACCGGGGGGGAAGGAAGGTGGCACATCATGGTCTTCTTGCATAATCACATCGTCGTTATTGCCATTCGAAGATATTGACGCCTTGTCACTGCATTCGACTTTGACCTTGCTCAAGCCCGGACGGAACGGAGTTTTGACCGCTTTGTCTTTCCTGTCAGGTTTCTGGTATTGTTATGAGCATAGACGGAGTACGATTGGTGGGTATCGAGCATTACCACATATTTGGCCGGCGAAATTGTCAGCGCAATGAGGTTGCGGTCCTCACGAGCATCCCCTCTCGGGGGCCTGAGCCAGTTGTTAATCCTGAATCGAGTGTCCTGAATGTATTATTAGATGTACCTTCAGTCGCATGGACCACAGAAGACATACATGGTTGTTTTTGTCATCTTCTTCTCGCTCTTCGTC